TTTCATCACCACCAAAACAGGATTATATGAAATGCTGAAAGGTATCCTTTAAGAAGAGGAAGAGGAAGAAAAAGGTAAAGATACAAATTATGAACAACAAATACGCATCTATCAACAAGTGAATCTAAGAATCAAGTGAATAAATAATCTGATGAACAGTATGAACTGGTGATTGTAATAGAATCAGGGACACAGAAAGGGAATGGACTGACTATTCTTGGGGGGGGAAAGGGGTGTGGGAGATGCAGCAAGAGACTGGACAAAAATCGTACATCTATGGATGAGGACAGTGGGTGGGGAGTGAGGGCGGAGGGTGGGGCGGGAACTGGGAGGAGGGGAGTTATGAGGGGAAAAAAGAGGAACAAATGTAATAATCTGAACAATAAAGATTTAATTAAAAAGAAAAAAAATAAACAGGAGGGGAATGGCTCCGCCTGTACATGGTGCAGCTGTTGGGCTTTTCTGCTTTTCCCCCGGCAGGCGTGGCTGGACATGGACGCTAGAAGCCAACATGGCACTTATGTCAGGCCTGCTCATCCCGGACAGATGTCCATGGGGTGCCAGAGCCACCTCCCCCACTTTTCAGGGAGTGGCGCCAGGGCCTGGCATAATACCCCAGCAATGGCCTGGTTTCAGAGAAGAGGAAGCCAAGGTGAGGGGAGAGTCAGGCCTTGAACCAGGCAACTCAGGGGCGGGGCCAAGACTCGGAGCAAGGGTCACAGTTGGCCTCTGGCACTGTTTAGAGTGATTTTTTGTCTTGTTTTTCCTGTAACCTGCCTTCCTCCTGGTTCCTTCCCTTTCACTGGCCTGACTGCTGCTGGACACCCCACACCCCCTGTGAGGCGCAGAGTCAAGCCAGACCCACAGGAACGGAGTCCCGTTGTCCAAAGGGCCCTCTGATAAGAACGCAGAAAGGACCCCAGACAGACGTCCGTGGCCTCAGGACGTCTAGGTCTAGGTCTCCTGGCAGAACAACTGGAGTGGGAGCTACAAAGCCACATGAGGTGAGATGGGCAACTGCTGGCATGAGCTGAGATCACACCACTTAGGGACCCAAAAGACCCAGTGATTATTACGTAGGGATCAACTGGACTCCGGACATCACAAGAAAGGTCACCTGGGATGATGACAGCTCAGAGGTGGGGTCTTGGACAAATTCTTTGGTCAATAAGCCATCTCAGCCCCCAGGTGATCCCCACCCAGTCTGCCTCCCTCAGGATGTGAGGAAAATCGCCACTCAGGGGGAAAGTAACCCCAAAATCACAGGGAAAGGGGTCTGGCATCTCCACCAGCATCACCTGGTGGAGGCTGGAGGAGTCACCAGCTGGAGGCGCTCAGCCAGCACCCTCACCCGGCCCAGCCCAGTCTCTCTAATACGTGGGGAGGAAAGCTTGGCTCGGACACGTTGGACATGAAAAGTTTTGTGTCCAGAACAGGGACCCCCATCTCCCTGTCCTCCTCCTGTTTATAGGGCAGTGGGAGTGGGCAGGAGCATGTAACCCAAGGGGCTGGTGCCATCATCACAGTGGCTCACCAACAGCACCTTGGTCTGCAGAGCGCAGGGCACTGTTCTCCATGCCAACAGCACCTGCCAACCTCAAGGGAAATGGCTACTGGCCTCAGCCCTCATTGCCAGGCTGCCGGCATCACCCATATTACCCCGAAGCTGGGCCCTGGCTCTCTGAGCCCCACCGGCCCCGGGAGCCCTGCTTCATGCGTGTGGCCAGGTGAGAGGAGTGAGACACACGTGAAGCTCCCTCGTCAATGGCAAAGTCCTCGAGAATGAGGACCAGGCGTTACTCATCTTCTCCTCCCCAGGGTCAGACGAGGACTGGACACCCAGAAAACACTATGTGGCCCCTGCAGGTTTGGCTCAGTGGATAGAGCCTCAGCCTGCGGACTGAAGGGTCCCAGGTTTGATTCCAGTCAAGGGCATGTACCTTGGTTACGGGATCCCCAGTAGCGGGTGTGCAGGAGGCAGCTGATCGAC